ATATATATATATATATAATATATATATACTATATATATTAAATATATAATATATATATATATATATATATATATATATATATTATGTGTATAATACATAATATATATATATATGTTAATATACGTATATATACACTAATATATACATATATAATATATACATATATATATATATACATATATATATATATATATATATAATATATATATATATATATATATATATTATATATATATATATATATATAATATATATATATATCATATATATATATAACTATATATAATATAATATAATATATATATATATATATATATATATATATATATATATATGCTATCATATATGTATATATACTATTATATATATATATCATATATATTATATCATATATATATATACATATAGATTAATATATATTATACATATGATATAACATATATTATACATAATATACATATATATATATATACATATATATATATATATATATATATATTATATATATATATACGTATTATATATATATATTATATATATATATATATATATATATATATATATATATATTATATTATATATATTATATATATATATATATATATATATATGTACTTGTATGTATAGTATACATATATATGATATGTATGTATACATATATATGCTATGTATGCTATACATATAGATGTATGTAATACAATATAATGTATGTATACATATATATTATGTATACAGTATACCATATATATGTATACATGCTATATATATATGTATGTAGTATACATTATATATGCTAGCCATGTATATCATAGATATGTAGGATATACAAATATATATCATATGTATACAATGTAATATAATATGTATATATATATATATATATATATAACTATTATATATATTATATATATATATGTATATATAATAAAAATATATAATATATATATATATATATATATATATATATATATATATATATAGTAATATATATATAGCTATATATAAAAAATAAAAAATTATAGTATATATATATATATATATATATATACTATATGCTATATATATATATGTATATATATATACTATATGCTATATATGTATATATAGTATATGTTATATATATTGTTATATATGCTATATCTATATATGTATATATATTATATATGTATATCTATATATATATATATATATATATATATATATATATATATATATATACTAATATAATATATATACTATATATATATATATTATATATATATATATATATATTATATATATAGTATATATATATATATATATATATTATATATATATATATATATATGCTAATATTATATATATGTATTATATATATATATTCATATATATATATATATAATATATATATATATATATATAGCTTATATATATATAATAGTATATACTATATATATAATCATACAACATATATATATATATATATAATGCTGTGACTGTGTGTGTGTGTGTTCATGTGTGTGTGTGCTGTTGTGTGTGGTGTGTGCTGTATATATATATATATATATATATAGTATGTATGCTATGTATGTATGTATAATATGCTATATATGATATGCTATGTATATATCGTTATATATATATGTAGTATATATATATATATAATATATATTATATATATATATATATTATATATATATATATATATATATATATATATATATATTTATATATATATATATATATATAATATATAGAGTCCGTTTCAAGTACGCATCATGCGTACGCATTTTGAGCCCGTCTGGACTTTTTTGCAAAAAACCAAAGCCAACAGGCAGCAGCGATTAATACAAGTGCTCCTGACCCTATCTTTCTTTCTCTCTCTCTCTCTCTCTTTCTCTCCCAAAAAAACCCCAATCCCTCCTCCATCAAGCCCCAAAATCGGAGCTCATCTTCGACGGCGTCACCAACTCCTCCATACTTCACCGACTTCGCCGACTTCCCCTTCGATCTCCGTCGATCTCCCTCGAGCTCTCTAAGTGATCTCCCCCAACTTCGCCAACTACCCCCTCCTCCGTCGACTTCCCCCCTACTCCGTCGACTTTGATCTAACGGACTCCGTTAAGGGACCATGAACGGTAACGGAAAGGTGTACGCCTCGTTAGAAATCGATAATGGAGAGAATCTCGATAATTTGAGCTCGATTTCTGTTGTAATGGTGCTCAAAACTCTATTCTTTCTACTTGTCTGGTACCTTTTCAGTACTCTGTTGACGTTGTCTATTTCTTTTCAATTTATGCAAGTATATATATGACTCCATATTCTCTTTTGCTGTTGCTCCAAATCTAACTACGACTTCACTTTGCTCCAGATATTGAGCAACAGGGTCATTGTGGAGGGATCAGAGAAGCACAGCTCTCTCAATGAGGGATCCATTCTCTGGATTACTGAAACCAGGTTGCCACTAGGAAGAATTGATGAAATATTTGGACCTGTGAAGAATCCCTTCTATGTTGTCAGGTACAACTCTGATGATGAAGTTCCTCAAGGAATTAGCATTGGTGTTGCCATCTCTTTTGTTGTGGATTTTGCCAACCATATTCTAAATGAAAAATACCTCTATGAGAATGGGTATGATGCATCAGGTATCGATGATGAGGAGGCTGCTGACGAAGTGGAATTCTCTGATGATGAAAAGGAAGCTGAGTACAAGAGATCTCTCCGTCAAAGTAAGCGAGATGCAAACTATGGGAAACAGGGGACTGGGTTTGGCAAGAAAGCTAATTATAAGGGTTTAGTTGTAAAGAGAGGTCGACAATGTGTAATATTTATGCTTCTTATATTTAGGACTTTAGTTGTGTAAATTTGAAGCAGTTGTATCCCTAATTTGAAGCAATCTTTGTGTAAATCTTGGCTGGCACTCTATTATAAATGAAAACTTGTCTTCCATTCTGAGTTGCGATTTGTAGAGCATGTTTATATTGAGAATATTCCATTAGTGCCTTTGAATCTATGGTTGCAATTGATGTTTCTCCACTACATTTGTTGATGCTTGTGTCTTGAGGCGTAGTAGGTTGCGATGTGAATATTCTTCTTCAAAAGGGAAAAAGCTGTCAGTAACTTCCAATGAATTTGTTACCATCTCAGCAGTTTGGAGATCAAACTTACAATCTCCAAAACTTACAGCTGGAGGGCTCCCCGGTAACTTTCAGTGGTTTGGTGGATTGTCATCTACGTCGGCTCTCGCTGGGATCACGAGACAAGCTGGATTTAGTCATGTGCCCTTTGGATTTAGTCTCGCTGTAAGTTTGGTGATGGAGCACAAGCCCTCTGCTTGGGTTGTTGGCTTTGATATGAACCTGTTTGCTGCTGCGTACGCTGTCAGTATTCACTCTTCACACTTATCATGGAATGTCTTTTTTTGTTTCAGGGGATTGTGACATCAAGCCTTGCATATTATGTACAAGGGATAGTGATACAAGAGAGGGCCAGTTTTTGCCTCGGCTTTTAGTCCACTGATGATGATCATAGTCGCAATCATGGGTTCCTTACATTCTACATAACCACAAGGCAATCTGCTGATTTAGCTGAAAATAATCAAACAAATAACGCACAAATGAAGAGGAATGCTCATAAGCAAACACAATAGGTGCATACATAACAAGAAAATTCACTGTCTATGTTTCAACAAATAATGGATATACACAACATATCAACAACAAATTGAAAGAGATTGCAACTCTCAAACTCACATATAATGAAATCTGTTGCAAAACAACACAGTTACAACAATGTTTCGTTTACTACATTTGGTCCTGCAAAACAACACGGTTACAACAATGTTTCGAGTTCATGCATCAATGTTTCGGTTACAACATGAAGAGCTAGTAATACACATCATAGCACAAAGTTGCGAACTGCTCAAGAGCAGATAGCAGCTCGGTTTGAAGCTGTCAGAGAGGATGAGTACACATGACAGCTTGGTCGTTTGAAGCATAAAGATCTCCTGTTAGCAGCCATGCCATAGGCCTATATAAAACATGAGCAGCATTATAGATTAAGCAGCATTATAGACAATACATTAATGAATGATATGCAGATATTTGTTAAGTTCTTTAAACTGATGACTCATTACCCTCTTAAGTAGTAACCTCTTGTGAGCAGCCGTCTTGAGTAATAAATATTGAACCAAAAGAGACTCTTAAAACTAGAAAAGGTTGTTCATGTCATTTGGCGGGTCTTGTTCTGAAGATGAACATTCTTCGTGGTTAAAGCTTTATGTGTAGAAGTAACTGAAAAAGATTTGTAGTCCACAAAAACTAATATAAAAAAATGAAGACACATTAAACTTGATACCTTTCAAAAACAGATCCTTGAATATTTGCAATATCTGTGAACTGAAGCATAGACGCTTGATTTTTTGCACTAAACCTCTTACATATATCATGATCCTGCAATTGAAAAATAATCATAAGAAGCAAAAAAGGTGAGGATAAGATACTTGTCAATTGCTCATTAGACAATCATAATATTTGAAAACGCCAATTACAACATACAGTAATCTCTCCACTTTCTTGGCAATCAAGCAAGGATGAAACATAAAGATCATGAAATAAGTACTTGTTCTTCACAACTATTTTAAAGAACAAGGGAAGAGATATTTGCTACAAAATTCTTCCATACTAGATGGTGACAGACACAGGAAAAAGTTACACAGGAAAAAGTTATGTGGTAGAAAGTTGCTATTAAATTATTCAATTCCTGTAAGTTATCTCAAAATTGGTCCATCAAAACATTGAAACTTCTATTAGGTCCCCAATTCCTATAAGTTATTTCAAATTAATCCCTAAACTCACCTAAATGCGAAAGCAAACACCAGGATAAATATCGGTGCTGCAGATTTGCACTGCAAAACAACATGAGACCAAAGATTATGAAGATGCACAACATATATCATTCATATATAACCCAAAAGAACGAACCATTGTCGCAAATGTAACTGATATGAAAACAAGGGACTCATTGCTCAGGTTTACATCCAAGGCAGTAGCCAATCCCGTAGGCACAACCCCACAGAACAAAACCCCACAGAACAAAACCCCACAGTAAGTCCTTATTTTTATACTTTTCCAATTCAAAGATCAAATATTTCTAAAAATAGACACCTCTAAAGAAGTAATCCCTCCATGTCATGGTCGGGCCGCTTCTATCTTTAAACAGAGTCTGGAAAAAAATGGTGTTGGATATCACAGCTTGCATCCCAAAATGAACTGTGTTCATCATCAAAGGAACCGAAAATTTTCACAGATGGTCCCCTAACAATGTCTTATTATACCTAAAATCCAAAAGCAGCTATAGCTTTAGGAAAAGGGACAAAAACATTCCAAAATTGGTAAAGAATGGGGATAGATTACCACAAGCTTACAACGTCAACAGAGTACTGAAAAGGTACCAGACAAGTAGAAAGAATAGAGTTTTGACCACCATTACAGCAGAAATCGAGCTCAAATT